AAGTTGATTACCATTTTGTCAGGGAACGTGTTGCCCAGAAACTGCTTCTTATCAAGTTCATCTCCTCGAAAGATCAACTTGCTGACATCTTCACGAAGCCACTGCCTCTTCCTCAGTTTAAAGGGTGTAGGCGCAATCTCAACCTAGTGAATTCTTCTGAGCACGGTTAGGATTGAGAGAGGGTGTTAGACTCTGTATATACTGGGCCCCACTTGTAATTATGTTGTACATGACTATATAATGAAAAGTCACCCCACGTTGGAGGTGTGCCACAAACCCTAAAACCCTTGTCTAATAGGACCTCACGTTCGCGAGCAAAGGAGTCAAGGACACCAGCATCGACGTCACCATGTGCAGCAACGCGGTGGCCTGCCTCGGTGTCCTTGTACGAGGAGCAGGCGACCCTCAACCCCGTCGAGGTAGGTCTCCTGCGAGCTAGGGTACATAGGGAAGGAGCAGGCTGGCATCCTCGTTCAGCGCTGCCGATGGCAGCACAAAGGCGGGGCGACGACCTTGTCTAGGGCACAACTGCTTGGAGGCGGGGCGACTCGACTGCGGGAGCACGCGTGCTCATCTCTACTCGCTCGCCACGTCACCCCCGATCCACACCCACCACCACTGTTTCCCAATCCCATCACTGCGAAGAGGGGGAGGCGAGCCTCACCGATGAGCACCGGGCAGAGAGAGTTGCTGGGACGGACAGGGGGCGGGCGGCGATGGCGGCTTAAAGAGAGAAGAGATAGGTATGTGTGGCGGCTGTGCTTAGGATGAGGAGGCAATGCCCGGATCCGGCTTGCCTGCTCCCGCAATGCCCATGGCGAAGATAACGAGCAAGGGCATCAAATCAGATCGGATTGGGGACTGCATCCCGATAATTTCGGACGCGGTGAATGTGCGAGGAAAAAAGCGGTCGACGACGGCTGAGAGACGCATGGACTCCTACATGCCTTTGTATCGGGCATTTCTGGGCCAGGGCACGCTGGCCACACGGACAACAGAGCGAGCGAAGGCTGGACGAAGACATACGACGTAAGACGGGAAATGGAATGTTCTGTTTCTTTTAAGTAGTATGTAGAGATTCTTTGACAAAGCGTCCATAAAACTCAAAGTCAACTGAAGAATACTTTAGTCAGCCAACTCTTGATGGCTTCAATGTTGGCCTCATCCACTTCAGGTCTCTCCATAATCAAAACATGGCCAAGGAGTGTGATACTCGAGCGACGCAAAATGTGCACATTTCAGGGTTAGCAAACAAATGTAAATGCTCATGATGTTCAGGAAGTGGCTCGCTATAAATCAGGATACCATCATAGTTGACCACCAGACTCTTTTCAACGAGAAATCTTGGTTGAAGAATTTATGAAAGACACATTCCAATGTTGGTTCTCTAATGAAGATGCAACAAGTCTTATTTAGAAGAATGAATAAAAAACGATTCCTTTATCATGTCAGTGTTAACTTACTCTCTTATAAGCATTATGAAGCACACATGAATGCTAAAGTGGCAAGCTTGCTAGGGTAATGACCATCATGATGTGACGTGTTGATTATGTATTTGACCAACATCATTTATAATCATATGTCACACTTCACTTAAGTGGCAAGTTTGTCAGTATCACGTGGCTCGTACGTGTTATATTTCTGACTAACGATGTTTATAATTATTTGTCACAATTCATTTGTTACCCAATAATTCTTTGTGCTTTTATTGTTCTAGATAAAATTAACTAACATTTTGGTCACTTAGGCTTGATTCAGGGGATAAGCAACTCATCCGGCCACTCCCATTGCTTCTCGAGGCCGGCCATGGCGCCTAAGAAGAGGTCGTCTGCAAGAGCTTTTCGCCGTTCTCAAGATCGATGGGAGGAGACTGTCATCAAATTCTGCTAGGGAGATTCATAGAAAAGGACGGACGTAGAGGAGATCTTCAATAGGTTTTCCAGCTTGCAGATGTGCGTCGACCACGCTAGGGGCCTCATCGCCGTGGCTACGGATGATGAGAAGAAGACGATGTTCCCCACCGACCGTGGAATTCCTCCTGTCGTTGTTTTCCTTTGGGCTATGAATGAAACGGAAAACTCACCAGATCCACGTCAGCATGCTAGGTGGTACGAGTACCGCTCCCGCCGTCGCGCCCTCCAGCTCTAGTGGAAGGTCTCGTCGGCGTCGTGGTTGCCGTACCAGCTGCAGTGAAGCAGGTGATTGTCCACTCTGACAACGAGGAAGAGAGCAGTGAAGATGAGGAGGATGAGGAAGAGTCCAGTGAGGGGGAGGAGGAGCCAGGTGCGGACGTGGTGGTGGAGGTGGAGGACGACAGCGAGCAGGATCCGATGGTGGTGGAGGACGACAGCGAGGGGGGTGGCGTAACAGCTGCAGCTGTCTGTCGACGACGACCTGTACATGGTGGTGCGGGGGATCCCGCAGCTCGGCGACATGAGCATGCCAATCGAGGCGGAGACCTACATCCGCGTCGGCATTCGCCACTCTGACCGCATCAACAAGATGAAGGAGATGCAGAAATTAAGAAATGCGGTGAGTGTCAGTTAGTTAAGTGTCAGTGTTTATGTTCAGTATGCTTTTGCAGTTAGTGTTTGAAGAACTACGTGTGATGTACTGAAGCATGCTTGCCTTTTGCAGTCGGTGTTAAGTTAAGTCAGATGGTTGCCTCTTGCTGTTTAAGTTATGTTTAAACAATGTTGAACCTGTTATGTACTGCAGCTGTTTAAGCAATGTCAAGTTGTTATGTACTGAAATTGAAGTTGTTATGCAATGAGATGTTTAAGCAGAAATGTTTTCCTCTCTGTTGCATTCCACAAAATTATAGTAGCAGAAGAGAGGACACTTCTCTCTATACGTACAGTACATAGCGTCGACCAAGCATGGAGATAAGAGAGGACACTTCTCTCTATTAGCTAGCTAACACAATATGAAAACCCTAAATTAACCCTCCAAAACCCCTAAACCCCGCCTTCCAAAAAAAAAAACTCCAGCTCCTGCTAGCTGCTGACGCTTGGAGGCCTTTTGGTCCCGGTTGGTATTACCAACCGGGACTAAAGGTTCTCCTGCCTGGGCACCCCGCAGCGGCCACGTGGAGCCCCTTCTGTCCTGGTTCGTAAGTGAAGCGGGACTAAAGGGTTCGCGCTTTAGTCCCGACCCTTGAGAAAACTACCAGCAATAGATTGAAATTTGTGAAAGCAACTACACTGATAAATTTGTGGAAATTTATTTTGTATTTTGGTACATGAAGCCTGAAGCTATATTCCAGTTCTGTTCACAGATGAACTTACAACTGTGAAGGCTGAATAACATCAGTAGGCAAGCTGATATGTAGGTTGAAATCTGTGAGCAACTGCATTGTGATGTTTGTTAAAACTGTGTTTTGCATGCGGAGCTTGGAACTATATATTGTAGTTGTGGCTCACAGAGGAATTCACAACTGCGAAGGTTGAGCAACGTCGTCAGTTAGTGCTAATTGTTTGAAGTTTTTTCTTTTTGGCGAGGGTACGTACTTGAATTTCTTACCCTGAGAATATCCTCTCCTAATTATGTTGTGCAAGCATATTCATATTCTGGATACATATTGTCTGAAATCGTCTCATATTTTTCAAATATAGTTCAGATCACTAAAACATATAACTGATGATATTCAGGACAGGAGTGTTCTTGATAAGGCCCAGAAATGAAGATATATCATACCAGGATTTGTTTGAACCATAAACACGGACTTTTGGAGCTGCCATTTTTGTCTTGAAAGTTCAGGTTGCTCAGAAAAGAAAACATGCATATACAAGATTTGATGCTAACTACGAAGAGAAAATTGCAGACATGCCATATGCATGTAACAAAAACGGGAAGAGATCAGGCAATAGTCGGTGAGTGCGAGGAACTTCTTCTTCTACCTAAACTTGTTCTTGTTAACTCCAAGTGAACAACTGAGAGATATTTGAAAAACAAAGGAAATCTTTTGCGCTGTTGGAAGAGATGTTAAATGCAGGAATTTCTCCTACAAATTCGACTACTCTAATATCCTTTGGGTTAAGCCGTTAAAGTCTGATTTGATAAAAGAAAGATCTATTATTCCTCCAGGTAAAAGGCTATGAGTAGACAATTTTTTATAAGCTCGAGTTATAAGTTCAATTCTTTTCTTCTTGTCGAGATGCACATTTCAATTTCCCGAACACATGAAAGAAGAGAAAAACACCAGATAGATGTATGGAAGTAGTTCTTGAAAGAGTGGGCATCCATACTTTTGCACGGAAACGGCAATCCAAGCGATGGCGTGAGTGGCTAGTGCAAAGCATTTTACCTTTCTTTTTGAAGCTTGACCCTGCAATGAGTGCAGTGCTAGCTGTGAGCTGATGGTGCCTATCTCGTTCCCATGACGGTATCACAGTTTCTGCGAAAATCGGTCCGGCGAGGCGATGTCATGCCATGGATGCTATGTGTTGGTGCCGTTCGTTCGTGGAGAAAAATCACCAAACCAAGCCAAGCCAAACGACGCCCCAAGTACCATGGATTTTTTCACAGCCCTAACTAGGCTGCCGCCACGCGGAAAATGATCTGCCGCTGCTTCCCCCTCCCGGTTGTCGAAGTGTGGCGGCGTCTTCTTCTCGAAGGAGCAGCACCGCGTGGCGGTCTTTGTCCGCGGACGGTGCCCGATGACGGAGATGGCTGGTCGGTGGTGGTGTGCCGTAGCTGCTGCACGTGGGCAATTCATATATGGCCGATGGGGTGTCATAGGTTATTTTTGGGATTTTATCACCTCTCTTGATTGTGCATACATCCGCCCTACTAAAATATGAGCGCCAATTTGTTGACAAAGGATTTCACGAGCCATATGAATCTCCTTGCCGAGCACAAAATTGGAAGGGGCAACCAAAAATCGCCTCTTTGCGCATTTAAGGGCAAAAACGGGCAGGGCTGCATGACATGGAGATGTTGCTCCTTGCTTGGGCGAGCTTTTTCGGGCGTCAATGGTGTAGTTAGAGCTTGTGCATGCGATGGGGTTGCTGCCCCTGGCTGGCAGCGGTGCCTTGGGCATCAACAAGACGAGATTCAAAGGGCAAGAGGCTGGGATGGTCTGATGTGTAGGCGGAGGAGTGGATCCGGCCGGCGATGGTGGGGAGCCGGGCATGGCGACCGGACTGGCGGCGTTGAGCCTTTCATAGGGTTCGAGGGGGAGAAATGTCGAGGGAGAGGGCAGCTGATTCAGGAGAGATGTGGGGTACCGGTTCTGGAGGACTTGGTCCTTGGACGTGTCATTTTCCTAGGTGGTGGCAAAATGGCCGTAAATACGTGCAACCCTTTCCTTTTGTTTTCGTGGAGCCCGGTTCTTCGGCTTCGCCTTTTTGCACTACAGCCCAGCTTAGCTGCATGAATTCGACTTGTGGAGCTCAGACGTTCGGGCGTCTAAGGGGTTTGGAAAGTTACGTGTAGTAGAACCCCTCGTGACAAAATAAAACTGTTTTTTTTAAATACCGCCTCCGTCCCATAATATAGGAGCATTTTTTACGCGTTATGGGACCGAGGGAAGATTAAATCCAATGATGTTTGGGGGAAATGAGAATCTGAAAGAAAAAAATGAAGTTTGGGGAAAATGAAAATGAGAAGGCAGAGCTTTTCGCGGGCAAGGCTTCAAAAGGAGGAGCGGAAGATGTCTCTGTCCGTCTGTCTCTCCTTCACGTGGCCACTCCCCCACCCCACCACCACCACCACCCATGGCTTGCCGATTTGATGCAAAACTGCTCTGCTCTGCACACCCATTCGCTCCGGCCAGGGCATTTTACTGTAAAGATGGTCCATCTCACACACACAGAAATTTGCTTCTTGTGTTTTGCAGTGCCCGGCGAAGCACGCGGTGTGCGGTCCCTGCGCCGCGAACCACGGCAACAAGTGCCCGGCGTGCGACGACGCGTACGAGCGCGACGACGCGGCCGACCGCTACCTCCTGGCGGTAAGGGTGCCCTGCCCCAACCAGGCGTACGGCTGCGGTAGCTCCGTGGTGTACTGCATGGCGGGCGACCACCGGCTGGTGTGCCCGCACGCGCCGTGCCGCTGCCCCGAGCCCGGATGCGGCTTCCTTGGCGCCCCGCCCGCGCTCCGCGGCCACCTCGCCGAGCGCCACCAGTGGCAAGTGACCGGCATCGCCTACGGGTCCGTGCTCGAGGTCCAGATGCAGGCGCTGGAGCAGGGGCGGCGGCTGCTGGCCGCGGAGGGCGGGGAGCAGCTGTTCCTGCTCGTGGCAAGCGAGCGCGGCGTCAAGGTGGTGCGCGTGAGCGCGGCCGCGGACGAGGAAGGGCCGGCGGCGGCGTGGTACAGGTGCAAGGTGTGGGTGCACGCGCCCGTGGACACGGCCACCGGCCACATGGACGTCGTGATGCTGGACGCCAAGGTGGGGAGCTGCGCGGTGCCTTCCGAGGAGGCGGCCATGGGCGCCGGTGGCAGCTACCTGCCGGTGCCGTCCGACGTGCCGGCGCCGGAAGGAGGAGGGATCGTTATCCGTCTCCGCATCGACAAGGAGGTGAAGGCGAGCAGGAGCCCCCGTCCCCGTGGCTGATTACTTACTTGGTCACCTTATTATCTACTACTCGCCTTAATTAACCTGGAGTGCTATATATATTTACCATGGTTGGACATTGATGATTTGGTAGTGAACTGGTGGTAGTGATCAATTCAAAGGTTGGACCTTGATTGATTCTGTCCATGACAATGTTTGCCAATGTATCTCGCAGGTTATATATGCAGCTGATCACTGGTAAGTGATAACTAGTAATCCTACTTGGCTTGCTTGCCTGTTCATTTTACTCTACTTGTTTGACTGCTGCAGTTCTTGCGAGGATGAACAAATGTCACTTTGCAGCATCTTTGATTGTTTGTTTGTGAAAACTGAATGTAGAGACATAACGCTGGGGGACTATTTTCAGCCGATTTGGATAACGAGCTAATAATTGGCTAGGTGTGTAGGCATCTTAGCTTGTTCTTTATCGTTGGATGTGGCACTTTTCAGTTCTATATCGCCGGATGCGGCGCTTTTCAGATTTTTTTTTTTTCGACTTCTGCTCAGTTTATGAACTTCTTTGGACTTTAAGACTTTGTTACATTTTTATTTAGTAATATGGCTGCATGCATCGATTGATGCAGAGGCCGGAGGTCATCCTTTTTTTAATTTAAAAAAGAGCGACATTATTTAAAAAACTGTTCAACACATATAACATAATTGTTCAACACACATAGCAAAACATAATTGTTCAACACACATATAACATAATTGTTCAACACATATATTATTTTAAAAACTGTCCAACACATAAAAAATTTAGGAGGGCTTAGATTAGGACTCTGCCACTACCTAGCACCACCGGCTACGGGTTCGGCTCGTCATCCAGCCTTATCCCGCTCCCAGTCCTCCGGCGAGCACCACACCAAGCGCAACATCCACGGCATTGTCTCCTCCTTTACTTCAGGGGCTACTGAGTACTATTTTCCTTTGGACCCCTAAACTCTCCGCCGTACGGGCCATATGACCTCGTTGCTGAGACTTTCCTCTTTTGTCTGTTCTCTGTAGTCGATCTAGGCGTGGTGATAGTCAAGTGCCTGAAACATAATACAACAACCAAGCTAATGTGCCTTGCCCTGATAATCGCTGGGTTATCCTTGGTTGGATGGGCCATGTTCACCCCTAGAGAACTTCAGTTCGTCCAAAACCAATCCAAATCATGGTCCTCTACTCTAGCGAATCTAGCCAACCTATCACTAGTATTAGTTTGTGAACGAGATACATGAGTAATACAAGAATGTCAAAGCCCTCTCAAGTACTCCCTCCGTCCCATCAGGCAAGAATTTTGGGACGGAGGGAGTACTTAATTTCCTTACTATGTGTGCATAGACTGATCTATCAACTTCCTTTCCTTGCTCTGGATCGTAGATACCCCAATAAACGAGTCCATCTCAATGTTGATTAGCAAGTCACTTCTTTGAAAAGCAAAATTGTTCACTATATATGTATCTCGAAGTTATTCATCGTGTATTTAAAAATGTGTTGGTAGAGAGCACAAGATGTGTTTCTCTCTCCGTCGTGCAAGTGCGATCGAGCGCGGTTTGTTTTTGGTTTGGTTCCGACTTGCAAGCGAGCAATGACTCGCGACGGGTTTCGGCTCTCCTGCTGGGAGCCCTTGTTGGAAATATGCCCTAGAGGCAATAATAAAAGTGTTATTATTATATTTCCTTGTTCATGATAATTGTCTTTTATTCATGCTATAACTGTATTATCCGGAAATCGTAATACACGTGTGAATACATAGACCACAATATGTCCCTAGTGAGCCTCTAGTTGACTAGCTCGTTGTGATCAACAGATAGTCATGGTTTCCTGGCTATGGACATTGGATGTCGTTGATAACGGGATCACATCATTAGGAGAATGATGTGATGGACAAGACCCAATCCTAAGACTAGCACAAAAGATCGTGTAGTTCATTTGCTAGAGCTTTGCCAATGTCAAGTATCTCTTCCTTCGACCATGAGATCGTGTAACTCCTGGATACCGTAGGAGTGCTTTGGGTGTATCAAACGTCACAACGTAACTGGGTGACTATAAAGGTGCACTACAGGTATCTCCAAAAGTATCTATTGTTTTATGCGGATCGAGACTGGGATTTGTCACTCCGTGTAAACGAAGAGGTATCTCTGGGCCCACTCGGTAGGACATCATCATATGCGCGATGTGACCAAGGAGTTGATCACGGGATGATGTGTTACGGAACGAGTAAAGTGACTTGCCGGTAACGAGATTGAACAAGGTATCGGTATACCGACGATCGAATCTCGGGCAAGTAAAATACCGCTAGACAAAGGGAACTGTATACGGGATCGATTGAGTCCTTGACATCGTGGTTCATCCGATGAGATCATCGTGGAACATGTGGGAGCCAACATGGGTATCCAGATCCCGCTGTTGGTTATTGATCGGAGAACGTCTCGGTCATGTCTGCATGTCTCCCGAACCCGTAGGGTCTACACACTTAAGGTTCGATGACGCTAGGGTTATAAAGGAAGCTTGTATGTGGTTACCGAATGTTGTTCGGAGTCCCGGATGAGATCCCGGACGTCACGAGGAGTTCCGGAATGGTCCGGAGGTAAAGATTTATATATAGGAAGTCCTGTTTCGGCAATCGGGACAAGTTTCGGGGTCATCGGTATTGTACCGGGACCACCGGAAGGGTCCCGGGGGCCCACCGGGTGGGGCCACCTGCCCGGGGGGCCACATGGGCTGTAGGGGGTGCGCCTTGGCCTACATGGGCCAAGGGCACCAGCCCCTAGAGGCCCATGCGCCAAGATAAAGGAAAAAGGGAAGAGTCCTAAAGGGGGAAGGCACCTCCGAGGTGCCTTGGGGAGGATGGACTCCTCCCCATCCTTAGCCGCACCCCTTCCTTGGAGGAGGGGGCAAGGCTGCGCCCTCCCCCTCTCCCTTGGCCCTATATATAGTGGGGAAAAGGAGGAGCAATCATACCTAAGGCCTTTGGTTGCCTCCCTCTCCCTCCCGTGACACATCTCCTCTCCCGTAGGTGCTCGGCGAAGCCCTGCAGGATTGCCACGCTCCTCCATCACCACCACGCCGTTGTGCTGCTGCTGGATGGAGTCTTCCTCAACCTCTCCCTCTCTCCTTGCTGGATCAAGGCGTGGGAGACATCGTCGAGCTGTACGTGTGTTGAACGCGGAGGTGCCGTCCGTTCGGCACTTGGTCATCGGTGATTTGAATCACGACGAGTACGACTCCATCAACCCCGTTCACTTGAACGCTTCCGCTTAGCGATCTACAAGGGTATGTAGATGCAAACTCTCCTCCCTTCTACTCGTTGCTGGTCTCTCCATAGATAGATCTTGGTGTTGCGTAGGAAATTTTTTGAATTTCTGCTACGTTCCCCAACAGTGGCATCATGAGCTAGGTCTATTGCGTAGATTCTATGCACGAGTAGAACACAAAGTAGTTGTGGGCGTTGATTTTGTTCAATATGCTTGCCGTTACTAGTCTTATCTTGATTCGGCGGCATCGTGGGATGAAGCGGCCCGGACCGACCTTACACGTACTCTTACGTGAGACTGGTTCCACCGACTGACATGCACTAGATGCATAAGGTGGCTAGCGGGTGTCTGTCTCTCCTACTTTAGTCGGATCGGATTCGATGAAAAGGGTCCTTATGAAGGGTAAATAGCAATTGGCATATCACGTTGTGGTCTTTGCGTAGGTAAGAAACGTTCTTGCTAGAAACCCATAGCAGCCACGTAAAACATGCAAACAACAATTAGAGGACGTCTAACTTGTTTTTGCAGGGTATGCTATGTGATGTGATATGGCCAAAAGGATGTGATGAATGATATATGTGATGTATGAGATTGATCATGTTCTTGTAATAGGATTCACGACTTGCATGTCGATGAGTATGACAACCGGCAGGAGCCATAGGAGTTGTCTTTATTTTTTGTATGACCTGCGTGTCATTGAAGAACGCCATGTAAACTACTTTACTTTATTGCTAAATGCGTTAGTCATAGAAGTAGAAGTAGTCGTTGGCGTGACAACTTCATGAAGACACGATGATGGAGATCATGATGATGGAGATCATGGTGTCAAGCCGGTGACAAGATGATCATGGAGCCCCGAAGATGAAGATCAAAGGAGCTATATGATATTGGCCATATCATGTCACTACTCTATTTGATTGCATGTGATGTTTATCATGTTTATGCATCTTGTTTGCTTAGAACGACGGTAGTAAATAAGATGATCCCTTACAACAATTTCAAGAAGTGTTCTCCCCTAACTGTGCACCGTTGCTACAGTTCGTCGCTTCTAAGCACCACGTGATGATCGGGTGTGATGGATTCTTACGTTCACATACAACGGGTGTAAGACAGTTTTACACAGCGAAAACACTTAGGGTTAACTTGACGAGCCTAGCATGTGCAGACATGGCCTCGGAACACGGAGATCGAAAGGTCGAGCATGAGTCGTATAGTAGATACGATCAACATGAAGATGTTCACCGATGATGACTAGTCCGTCTCACGTGATGATCGGACACGGCCTAGTTGACTCGGATCATGTGATCACTTAGATGACCAGAGGGATGTCTATCTAAGTGGGAGTTCACAAGATGAACTTAATTATCTTGAACATAGTCAAAAGACCTTTTGCAAATTATGTCGTAGCTCACGCTATAGTTCTACTGTTTAGATATGTTCCTAGAGAAAATATAGTTGAAAGTTGATAGTAGCAATTATGCGATCAGTAGAAAACTTATGTCCTTAATGCACTGCTCAGTGTGCTGAACCCCAAATGTCATTTGTGGATGTTGCGAACATCGGACATACACGTTTTGATAACTACGTGATAGTTCAGTTAAACGGTTTAGAGTTGAGGCACTAAAGACGTTTTCGAAACGTCACGGAACATATGAGATGTTTCGAGGGCTGAAATTGGGATTTCAGGCTCGTGCCCATGTCAAGAGGTATAAGACCTCCGACAATTTTCTTAGCCTGCAAACTAAGGGAGAAAAG